GGGTGGATAATTGAATCATAAAATTACTATTGCTTTGCATTAATAAATGCAGTTAATAATCATTTTTACCTGTTTATTTCTTGGTAATGCACATTTGACAGTAAAGCACTGAGCTTAAGTTGGGAAGCATACAAAATTTACTTTTATTAACAGTAACATGTGAAAAATCAAACTTTTATAAGGAAAATGTATATATTCTAATCTTAATAAATGTACCATTATTCTTCTACCATTACTCTATAGTATTATACTGAAGTGACCAAAAACTTCAGTGATTATAAAAGGAGCGCTCTTTACTTGCTTTATGTGATTCAGTCGCTAATTGAATTTTTTTTTCAAGTCACTGTGACATTTGTCATTTCATACACAAAAAAAGTGCAAAACTTTGACAAAATTAGATTTCTTGATGATTTGATATTTTATACTAATTTTATACTATGAATTATAGTGATTTTATAATATCCAAATATAAAGCAAAAAAGAAGAAATTAATGACTAATGAGTCAATAAGTGCTCCTCTGCTGCCGTCTACTGGTTATAGTGGTAATTTGATGTCTTTTTTTATTTTAAAAATGTTGTTTACCACAAAGTATGTTTTGGTCATCCCATTAAAAATAACATTTAAAAGGGATCATTTTTAGAGCTTTAAAGTGCTGGAAATAGTTGCGTGAAATACTTTAAAATCATTGAAAAGTGCATGAATTTATCTCAAAAGGTTGTACAAACCCTGAAATGAATGCCACAACACCATGGTTATAGTTGGCATAACTACTTTTGGTTTTCCATGTCAGCGATGTTTGACTGCTTCTCACTAAATCTAGAAGCAGCCTTATTCATTCTGCTGTGAATTCAAATGCTTCTGACTGGATCTTAATTGTGTTTGCACAAATGGCTCCATACAGCGGGAATATTGTCCAGTCAATAAATGCGGTAGTGACAAATTAACCAACATGGGTTCTGACCTTTCTTTGCTGTCTCCATCTCCTCTTCAGTCCAACGAGAACTTTCATTCATCTCCAGGTTTGCTAAAAAAAGATAAGAAAAGATGAATGTCATGCAACGTGAGATAATACCTAAGTCTCTATAATGCAATTCAGCGACCATCTTGGTAACAACCCAGGTTGCTGTTTACTTTCCGTCTACATGAATGGGAAGAGATCAAAACCTCCAAAACTCTTTTAATAAAATTGTTTCAATAAAATATTTTGATAAGCAATTAAATCTGACAAATCTAACTGGTATAAAACTATTTTTTAACACAAATCAGGCAATCAAATCAATAAATAAAGTGTGTAATGCAAGAGGTAGTAGACACAAAATAAAGGTTGCAAATTCATATCCATACTTTAAATTACTTAAAACTAATCCAAACTAAAAGCACAAAGCACAAACTTGTGAAAATGACTCAAGCTCTTATGACATTAGTAAGGCAGTGTTTTGACCCTTATGCTGTAATAGGGGACGTTTTTAAATGAAGCACAATTTTGGGAAAACAGAAAAGTGAAGTTATAAAACTACAAGTGGGACAGTGTTATACAATAAAAGGTTGTGCACAGTTAATTTGCAGAGCAAAACAAAGAACTCATTTGAACACATGTGACCTCAGAGACACACTGAAAAAAGTAAATGGTATGTGAGTGTGTGCTAACCCAGCTCACTGCTTAGCGGTGAAGTGTTTTCTTCCTGCTCATTGGTCATAGAGCGAGTGACTCGTCCTTTCCGGTGTCCTCGGCTGTTTGCAGTGCGCCGGCCTTTAGCGGTTATAGGAGGCTCTTTCTCCTCCCCGTCCTCACCAGAGGTGTCATCTCTGCAAGAACAGAAAAAAAAATCATTATCATAGTCGCATTATGCTCTTATCGCAGCAAAATTATTCACACATCATGTTTGATTATCATCCATCATTTGAATTTTTTTTATCAATATCAATATGATTACATCAATACGGAAAAACATTTATATTAGGCATGTTTACCTCAATTCGAGTATATTCTTGTTTTTATGATGGGTTTCAAGAGCACAGAATCTTTTAAAATATATATACATTATGTATAATGTCACTAAGCAGGCAAAAAAATAGAGCAATAGATAAAATGCTAGAACGATTGATAAGAGTGCTAGAACGATAAATAGAATGATAGATAGATAGATAGATAGATAGATTGATAGATCGATAGACAGACAGACAGACAGACAGACAGACAGACAGACAGACGGATGATGGGTAAATTTAAAAAAAAAAATTAAATCAGAGCATTCCTATTAGAAAAAATATTTTTAAGGTAACTTGCTGATAGTACACACAGAACCAAAAAAATGAACCATACATGAACGTGAACACACTATGCAAATGCTGGCTCACTAGCAGTACGGCACAGTGTCAGGAAGTGGCTGTGGGATGAGCAGACCCTCATTTATCTTACCTGCACATTATCCATCTTGCAGATACAGTACTAAATATAGGAGCAGCAGCTGTGCCCGCAGGTTGTGAGAATCATAGGGGAAAAGTCAGAGAAATGCACAGAATCTTTTAAAATATATATATACATTATGTATAATGTCACTAAGCAGGCAAAAAAATAGAGCAATAGATAAAATGCTAGAACGATTGATAAGAGTGCTAGAACGATAAATAGAATGATAGATAGATAGATAGATTGATAGATCGATAGACAGACAGACAGACAGACAGACAGACAGACAGACGGATGATGGGTAAATTTAAAAAAAAAAATTAAATCAGAGCATTCCTATTAGAAAAAATATTTTTAAGGTAACTTGCTGATAGTACACACAGAACCAAAAAAATGAACCATACATGAACGTGAACACACTATGCAAATGCTGGCTCACTAGCAGTACGGCACAGTGTCAGGAAGTGGCTGTGGGATGAGCAGACCCTCATTTATCTTACCTGCACATTATCCATCTTGCAGATACAGTACTAAATATAGGAGCAGCAGCTGTGCCCGCAGGTTGTGAGAATCATAGGGGAAAAGTCAGAGAAATGCACAGACTCGGCTTAATGCACTCATTTAATGTATAGCTGGCATGCTGGGGCGTATACTTAGGCCTGTGTATTCGGGCCAGTGCTAATGTGCTTTAATCACACCCTACAGTACTGCTGACTACACAGGTTTAGTTTAGATTAATACACTGTTACCTGTACTTCCCAAGAGTATATAAATACAGTGTGCACCTGCGAGTGAACTAGTGTTCAGAAACTAACAGCTCACTAAATTAGGCTGAAATGATACAGAACAGCATTTGTACATAGCCATTGTTTAGTGAAAACTAGAAGGCTGTGTTTCTACTTGGAATGTCAAAAGGGCCAATTTATTATGCTGTTAATATTAATCAAATAACAATATTGAGAAGAAAAAGACAAACCCAGTCAAAGTTTTGTTGCTATTTATAACTTGAATAAATGTATTTATTTTAAATGTTTATATAAACTAAAAAATTTTATATATTTATTAAAATGCATATAACTATATTTGAATGAATATATGAAATTTTTATTTTATATACACATTTTTGCATTAAATATATTTAACCTGTTTTTTTATTACGGTTTACTTTATTGATTACTTGAAAAACTTGAATCAATGTTTAATTGAAAGTAACTGTAAATTAAATTAAATTAATTAATTGATGTGACACTGAAAAAAAAAAATAGTATTAGCTCATTTTTGGTATCATGACCACAGTTCTATCCTAGAGTCTGTAACACGCAAAAAAAAAAGCAATGAGTGGCAAGTCAGCAGAATGCTTTTTCCACCTGCCGGTTACACAACTGTACCTTCACTGTTTAAGATGAATCACAGAAAAAAAGAAAGTTGTAGGGCCACAGGTTCAAAGGATTTGATGAGAGAAAATGCAATGAAAAAAACAGCTGATGGATGGGTGTGAGATGAGAGGGAGAGAAGGCGAGTAAAAGAGAGAAAGATACTCACTTCATGCCATCCTCTTTCTCATCTCCCTCTGCTTTGTCCTCCTCGCGGTCTCCCTCTTTCTCTCTCTCCTTGTCGTCTTTCTCCTCCTGGCTGTTGCGGTTCACCTGTTGCTGTGTCTGTTGGTTATTCTGTGAATACAACCAATCAAAACACAGCAAATTAAAACCATTTAAATCTAATTAAAATCATCTAAAACATTATTTCCACCCAAAAAAAAAAACATAACTCTCCCATTTGGAATAAATGGACATCCTGATTCAATTGAAAAATTAACTCGCAAGCTCAAGTACACCAATGGTGCGCAAAAAAAAAAAGCTGCCTGGAACCAGGACATTGTTCTATAAATCTCTTCGTAATGAAAAAAAAACACCCATAAGAGGAGGTGGTGCTCCTATCACCCAGGCCTCAGTTCTATGTATCTGGGTTTTCCTTCACATAAGAATTCCATTTTGAATTATGAGGCAACATAAACCATCTATTTTTGTCAGGAAAGAGAGAGTATGATCCACTACCGCTACTACGAAAGGGAAAATGGATGACAGAAGGATGAAGGGGGAGGGGACAGAGACCGGATCTGAGTGGACTCCGGACGGACAAATGAATGGAGTGAAAGAGTCTCGACATATCCAAGCTCCGATTCTGCCTCAGAGCTTTTCAATATGACAGACAGCACCTCATATAACCTTACACACACACAAACAGGAAGCTGACAAATGTATATGAATGTCATCATTTCCCACATGATTGTGTGCTAACATAAATGTTTTTGCATAATGGAATTCAAGTTTTTCAAATCTTTGTAACATTATAAATGTATTTACTGTCACTTTTGATCAATTTTATGTGCCTTGCTGATTAAAAGTATTAATTTCTTTCATTAAAATTGTTCCAACCCCAAACTTCTGTATTTCACCTGAGGATAGCCAAATTACAGTACAATTTCCAAATTTTACTTGAAATTTTAACAAATACATTTCAGCAAAATTAATCTTCCATGCTAACCATTCGATTCCAAAAAAAACAAAACAATTTTTCTCTGAAAACAATCAAATTAGATGTAATGTCAGCTGCACACATCCCTCATTACAGTGCTGCATGAACACACTCAGTTATTCATGCACAGTTAAGCACACATATACAGATGCACTCATCCACACAGTAACTCGCTTTCTGTTTTTTTGTCTCCCTTTTGTTCATGCTTTCTTTCACCCATCAGGCTCATCCCACTGTATCCCTCTCTTTCTGTGTTTGTGGCACAGGCTGAGAACGTTTTAATGTGAGCCCATTAAGATCAGGCGATATTTAATGACCTGAGCAGAAACGCTCCAGCACCAGAAGACCAGTAAAACAAATGTGTTTGGGCTGTGGGCTCATTATTCTATCAGATTTTATTGCTATTATTGCAGGCAACACACACACACACACACACACACACACACACACACGCAGCTCTCACTCTAACAACTTCAACTCATGTTCTCCTGCTTCAAAAAAAACAAAACACAAACAATAGATACATTCACAATGCAACAGTTTCATGAATCGCTCTGTGCGTGATCTTACACACACGTACAGAAATTAATAAGTGTGTAAGATCAGGAGAGAATCACTGCAGACTCTAACGGTAGCTAGATAATTACTTCATATAGTTTGACCTCACTTTGAGGTGTGCGCCTGTGATACTCATTAGAATCACGCTGATTTATTTTTAATAACACACTCTCATTAAAAAGACAAGCTGAATTCACACCGGCACTATAAAGACTATAATCATGAGGTACGTGCTGTAAATGAGGAGACAGATCCACAAGCAAATAAACAATGTTTATATAATTTAATATAGCATAATGCCATAGTCAACAACCTTGAATTTTTCAGGGCTTATGCTGCATTCCATTCAACTCGGAAAGTCATAATTCCAGCTTTCTACTTGGAAAGTGCAATAGGACACCACTTGATGCAGAACTTTCAATTTCAACACTCTTTTGCAGAAGTCTACAATTGATTTTGCAGAGACTTTGGTGACATCATGCAAAATAGCAGGACTTTAAGCATATAACATACCAGTGTTACAACATTACACAATAATAAACCTGTTTACAATGTATAAAATATCATAAATTATCTTCTGTTTATAATCACACATCTCAAAAACTAATTCTAGCATTGGCGTTTTGTTTCTTTATACATCCTTTTCCAAGTAGGAAAATCTCACACCCGACTTTGAATGAAATGCAGCATTAAAGCGTCAAAAGGCATGCTGGGAGATGTAGTCTCATGCTCACCTGGCTCCTGCCTCGGCGACGGTAGCTCCTGCGAACAATGTTCTTGTAGTTCTCATTCTTCTTAGTCAGGTAGTAGAACAGGACACACTCAGCCACCGTCTGTGGAAGGACACACACGCAGAGCACTTCAGACCTTACTCGTTCTGCTCATACACTCTCATCATATTCATGCACACTGCCTGCAGTGCAAACAACGAGATGAAGAGGATGGTATTAATAAAACACAGGTGTACCTTTCTCTCCAGAAAGGAGGCTATCAGGGCAAAGTTTTTTGGGTGCTGGATAAACCTGCAGTGAGGGAGAGGAGGAGCTGTGATACAGAGCAAACACAACCTTCAAATGCTGTATTTTACGGTTTAATTCTTTCGCTAGATATTTCAGCTGAACAAATTTTCTATAGCATCCTTTTTGGTTAAAGTGAAATCAAGACACAATTAATAATAGGGGTGGGAATCACAAGATACCTCACGATACGATATGATACATGGCTCACGATACCGATAATATCAATTCTGTGCATATTCTGTGATAATCGATATATTGCTAGACAATCCTATAATTATACATCACGATATCGGTCTATGAAAACAAAATGCCTGTGAAAAGGTTAAGTGCAGGTTTTCTCTCTTATTCAAGTCCAAACTGCTGAAAATTTTGCAAAAATTTGCAAAAAGTTAGTGGTCCCCAGTGACTTCCACAGCATTTTTTCCCTATGAAAGTTAACGGGGACCAGCAACTTTTTGGTTACCCACATTCTTCAAAATATTTTCATTATGTTCAGCACAAGAAAGAAATTAATACAGGTTTGGGACAACATGAGAATTAAAAATTTTTGGGTGAACTATCCCTTTAATGACAAGCAGCAGCATGTTTAGTACAATTAGTCTGCTGTCGCTTTAAGAGCTGCACGCATCTAAGATACAGGCACGTTTTTCTCTCAACGGTTTACTTTCAATTTAGACATAACCAACTGTGCTTATATGTAAACCTTGTGTGTTTTTGACAGTATTAGCACATTCGGACGCAAAAGATAAACTTAGTCCAGTAATCAGGTGCTGTTTGTCAGGCTTTTTAGTAGGGCTGTGCGATTAATCGAAATCGTCATAAAATCGCAATTTGAGCGTGCACGATTTCTAAATCGCTTTATAGCACGATTTTCCGCGCCCCCGACCTCCCGCAGTATGCTATCCGAACTATTCAGAATGCAGCGCGCCTAAATGGAGCACGAGAACAGAACAGTCCGGGCGGGCATACAAACGTATTTTTTCTGCACCCATGTTAACAGATCAGAGTGTTCACACTGCACCGGCAGTGCGCTCCAGGAGCGGTGCGTCTGCAGCAGTCATGCGGCGATCGTTTCCGCACGGAATCTAATTCTGCTATGCTGCATGCACTGAATTAAAGTGACAGCGCATTATTCGTGGTAAAAATTAACATGGATTGACACGGAAATTTAGTGATTACACCATAAATGCATATAATTAAAGTCTACTGTTTCACAGTCAACACCTGGATTTTTGGCTAGATTTAAAACAAGGAACAGTTCACTTTTAGATAAACAAGGCAAATGTTTTTGTCTGCCATATGTCTGTTCTAGAGAGTAGAGACATTTTGTTACACCTTTACTTAGTGATCATTTTGCCTTATGTCTGTTCTAGAGACATGTTACAGCTTTTTGATAAAGCTCTAATTGGTTTTCTTTTGGAAATATGTTTCAAATTCACACTGAATGCATTAATGACTGTAAAGCATGTCTGTGTGTGTCAAAATTGTGATTAAAATCGAAATCGCAAAATTGATCAAAGAAATCGCGATAGGTTTTTTTTGTCCATATCGCAAAGCCCTACTTTTTAGTCTGCGTGCACTTCAAGTGTACATGCTCAGAAAAAGTGCATGTCAGAACCGCACATGAATTAAACGTTAAACTGGCAAGGCTTTAGAGCACATGCAAATAATGCAGTTCTTGCATATTGCGTACTCTTTGTCGATTTTGTTTGTCCCATCGATGGTATAAAAGTCGAAGTGGGTCCAGACTTTGGACTTAACATGGCTGGTACATCTATTATTTTACTTACACTGCTGTCCGCCATCCTGTTAAAAAATATTTTTCTTAGCTAGTTAACTTATGTTCATGTTTCACAATTATTGCAATCTTATTCTATTGTGTCTGTTTGGCGCACATGTGTGCTGCGATGCTTGTTCATTTAAGTCTGTGAAGTTTAGCAGAGAATTGTATGCAAAAGGCTCCTGACAGCAAAATGGAAATATTCCCATGACTTTCTAACATTTACAGATGGAGAATATAACTGTGAAATGTAAGTTATGCACTGAGGAAAACAGCACAAAAGCATTAAACAGCACAAGTAGCCTATCTGTCAGCAGCACATGAGTCACTTTAAATCATACATGTTAACTATATCTTACCAGTTATTTTAAAGCCCTTAATATAAAGCATGTCTCATGTTTAGAATAAATTGGATTATGCACTTTTCCCACAGCAGCTCACTCTATGTCCTCTTCTATTATTCAGATGCGCTCTTATCAAACATATCATATCAAACCATATCGCCTTATAAACATATTATCGTACAAACTCGATATACCGCCCAGCCCTAGCTTACATCAGCCCATTGATGTAGATTTCAGCTGTTCACGTTTCACCTAGTGCTGCACCACTAGCCAACCATCAAACACAACCATATGCACACAAACTGCTGAGCTCTTGAAAACCAGGAGAGGGATGCTAAACCACAGGCTGATGCATTTTAATACCGATTTCGTAACTCCTCTTTCCTTCAAGCAAAATCAACACGCACATCAATGCAATGAGGACAGAACGTACTTCTCACGGAAAGTGTCCTTCTCCTGTTCACTCCACATGTTCATGACCTGTCTATCTTTGTAGACCTTCATGGGATCGGCCATCAGCCCATTCATGTTGATAAACTTTATTCTCTGCTGCTCGGCATCAAACAGCATGGGAGGAATCACAGCTAACTGACGCATCTGCTTCTCTGAGTTCTGCAGTGAGAGAGAGAGAGAGAGAGAGGAAGAGGCAGTCACTAATATGAAATGAAAATAAATATGCGAAAAGAAACAGAGAAACAGTAATGCCAAAAGCAAGGCAGATACAGTCAGCAAAAACAGGCCACTGAATCTTATGTCTGTGTTTAGGAAGTGCATCAGCCACAAAACCCAACTGGTTGTGTAAGAGACCTTTAGTTGTTAATTCACTATTTGTGCACTTTTTCCAGACAGATACACAAACAATCCTTTTACATTCAAGAATATGCTTGTCTATTGAGTATTTTCTCCATAATTGTTCTTGCAGCCCCTTAGTATATAAAATACAGTTTTGGTAACATATACACTACTGTTCATGCTTGGTAAGACTTTTATGATGTTTTTGAAAGAAGTCTCTTATGCTCAAGTCTCTTTTTTTTTTTTGATAGAAATATTTTGTAATACAAATATTTTACTGCCACTTTTAATCAATCTAATGCATCCTTGCTGAAAAAAATAATTTATTTAAAATAATCTTATTGACTACAAATATTTAAAAGGTAGTGTATAATACATGATTTGACTAATATTTTATTAGACAAAATAAAACAAAACAAAAAACTGCTGCAAAGGCGTATCTTTAACTATATGTTGTCATATGAACAGTCTGCGACGATAATGATTCCACAAAACCATTTTTGCTTCACTCACCAAATTCTCACTAAGTTAATTCAGTATATGATTCAGATTAATTCAGATGGCTCAACTTGTGAGTTGTTGATTTATTAAAAGAGCCAGCTTACTGTATATTAAATTAATTAAAAGTATTAATTAGATTACTGTTACGAATGCACAGCACAATATGAAGAGATGTGTCTTGACATTAATTCATAGTACAGAGTGTTTTATCACAAATTCAAACTGCAAGCTCACAACTATGGTAAAATGTATTCTCCATCTACGTTGCTGTAGATTTGGCACTGAAAAGCAGTGCAGGAAACAATGCGTTTATTCAAGCTCCAGCCCTACCTCTTGCTCTGAGATGCCGTCGATGATCTCAGAAACCTCATGTTCACTGCGAGCTGCTGAGGCCAAACCCCCACCTCGCTGAGCCACTCTACTGTAGTGAATCACATAAATATAGATATAAATACACTTATGAAACCACACATAACCATGCAAATATCTCCAAAGCTCATAACAACACAAGACCACTCACTTCTGCATACGCTCCTGCAGCTCTCTCTGTTTGCGGATCTCAGGAAACTGCTTTTCGTAATACTCCCGCACTTTGCTCTCTTTGGCTCTGCGACGTGGGTTATTCTCGATGCGCTCAACTTTCTTCTCCCAGGCCTCCATTAGCTGGTCGTAGCGCTGGCAGAATTTCTGTTCCTGAGCACACCAGTCAGAAAATAAAGGATGAATATAAAAGTCTAGACAGCGTATGCTGCAGTAGAGTCATCAAGAGAGGAAACATTCGAATGAAAGTAATTACTGAATGCTAACAGTTCCAGTGTAGTTTTTAATAACCCCATTATTCAATAACTACAATTCAACCAATTAAATGACATCAATTAACTACTCTTTCCTAACACTGGGATCCTCATTGGGATCCAATGGAAGGTTATTCTTGTTGTCTTAGTAATGAATACATAAATGTGCCCAATATTTAGGTACTGTGAGCTGCAACAGTGCCATCCTTCTGTGTGTTTTGTGTGTGCATTTGAGTGCTTTCACTTACCCACTGTTTGCGAGCATGATTTCTTCTTTTGAAATACAGAATGAGCTTCTTCCTCATTGACTGATTTCTGTAAAAGGGGAATACATAATAATTAAACAACATAAAATGCCACCTCTAAACTTCAGCTGTGATGTGTCTCATCAATATTTGCATATACAAGAGAGTCCAAGTGTAAGCAATCTTTGTGCGACAAAGCAAAGGCAGTCATATTTTGCATAGTTCTAGGACCCTAGTTCTAGGACCCGGAAATTGTAAGTCTGATCACTTGGAAAAGGAACAGCAAAAACGGCACTAGCAACATTCCTTAGGACCACTAAAAATTTAACAATAAATTTAAGATAACATAGCTCAATGCAAATTACATTTTCAAATATATTAATATAGAATGTTATTTTTTAATTGTAATAATATTTTACAACATTACTGTTTTAATGTATTTTTGATCAAATAAATGCAGCTTTGGTGATCCTAAGAAACTTCTTTTAAAAACATAAAAATCATACTGACCTCAAACTTTAAGTGTAATGTTTGTTTGTTTGTTTATTTGTGTGTTTAAGAGAGTTAGCTAGCTAGTTACCTAGCAATGCAGGTCAGATTAGTAATCATCTTTCAAACAGCAGAGGTCACGACCATTAATTTACTCGCATTTTGCGTTAAGTCCTACACGAGGGTGTGTGCATCTTTCAGCAGTTTAGACAAACTGCGTATTTATGCCAACATGTCGAGGGAAGCCAGCCTGGTATCATGTGCATTTGATGAGACACTGGTGCACTTGGCAGAATCTCTTTGAGTCATTGGTTTGTGTATTTACTTGTACGAGTGAGATTAGGCGTGTAGGTGCAGAGGTGGCACTGCACCTATTGGCACTGCAGATGCCTATTTGGCATCTGCAGATGGCAGGATTAGCTGCTGTGCGAGACGTGCTGGAACCAAGAATGCAGCTCAATGCCCATGATCTACCCACACATCAACTATTACACAAATATTTCCCACTGGTGCTGCTCAGGTTGATAAAGGACTCCTGAGAACAAAACCCTCAATTGTGTGTGATCAAAGAACAGCTGAAATACATCTTTCTCAAACATGTATTTGCCTGTCTATAAATTATGAGGCCAAATAACCCAAAAGATCACAGAAAGACTGGAAGTGGGGGATTTGTTAACCACCATAAATAAAGGCAAAAGAAGGTCCACTGTCAATTAAGCAGAGTTGTATGAAATATAGCTCACACCAAAGTCAATTTCAAACCAAGCAGCTTTCTGGTGGTCATCGCGGCGAATTTGACCAACTTGAACACAGGTGTTCAAGAAATCTGTGAACTTTTTCGCCTTATGCAAAGCTCTGATTATAGTTTCTATATTTTTCCTATTTAAAACTTGACTCTTCTGTAGTTACATCGTGTACTAAGACATTGTGTATTTTACGTCGGTCTTAGTACACGAAGTCAAGTTTTAAATAGGAAAAATATAGAAACTCTTTGGTCATTTTTGAGCGAGATGCTAACGGTCTAATCAGATTTAATGACCTATGCTAAGTTAAGCTAAAAGTGCTACCGCTAGACCCGGAGATCAGCTGAATGGATTCGAAAATGGTAAAACTCAACTGTTTAACTCTAGGGGAGTTGGAAAATGAGCCTATTTTCAAAAATAGTGGAGTGTTCCTTTAAAGTCTCTACTAATGAGCTGATGAGTTAAATAGGTGTGTTAGATGAGGGAGACAGTGCTGGGGTGCTCCAGGACCGTTTTGAAAACCATTTCAGAGACATAAAATAATTGTTTTTACTGATATACAGCCTGACAACATCTCATCTGACCGCAGTTCACTGTTGTTCTACTGAAGCTCCCTCATCACCTGTACCTTTGCCACACTCGTTTGACTAGCACCTGGCACTGAGGTGAAGTTGTAGTACATGTCTGAAAAGTCTCCCATTTGATATGGTCTTAAAGATGTTGTGTGTCTAAATAAATGCAATTCTTTTCAAGAAAAAATAGAGACAGAAGCAGCAGTTGTGAGGGGGTGGCCAACCCTAGCTCCACCCCTGCATTAATTGCGTTAAATACTAATATTAATATTAATATCAATATTAATAAATACTAATATACTATTATAACATTTTAACACGTTGAACTGAAAAAAATTAATTGTCTGCTAAAAATTACACAGAAGATTAAAATTAATTCAGCAAGTGAGAGACTAAATAAACATTTAAGGAACTGTAATATTAGAATATTTATTGGGCTCTATGCTTGTGTGCCTACAATGCTAGTTCTAAATTTCATTCCTCAATCATTATAAACGCTGCAGTAATACAGGCGGCATATACGCATGATTGTAATTGTTTAAGCTACAGATCTGTCTCTCAGTGGATGGAGTTGTTTTTGGTTTTGACGGAAAGAGCAAGAGATACAGATAAATATACTCACATCTTGATGTTCTCATGGTACTGCTTGGTATCAGACGGTTGGTTGTATAAAGGCTGTAGGAGAGACAGATGAAAGCAGTGGAGTTCAGTTTCACACACACACACACACACACACATCAATATATCCCAGCTCTGGGAGAACTTCTTTTTCTATCGTCCCATTTTTCAGCCAAGCCCAGAAACACAGAAAAGAGTGTCTTCTCCAACACCACATCTAAAATCTTCTGCTATCATCATCGCACACTCGTTTGAGACGTCAAGCGAAGGATTTTTCCGTGGGGAAAATGGACATGTTGCAGTGTGTCTCTTCTGTCACAAAGCATCACAAAGACGTGGCACCAGATGGGCTGTTCTATCACCTCGATTATCAATAAATTTGCGCCAAAAGTCTCTGCTCAAGGTCAACAGCCATGTTGTAAACAAATAGGCAGCAGTGCATGTAGTCACACACACACAGGCTCACAGGCTGAAGGAGTTCATATTTCATACTGTGGAGGTAAAGTTACAGCAGTAGGTTTTCATACATCTCAAATGCAATGATCACATAAATACATATACATATACATATACATATACATATATATATATATATATAAAAACATATGTGTATATATATAAAACATATGTGACCCTGGACCACAAAACCAGTCTTAAGTCGCTGGGGTATATTTGTAGCAATAGCCAAAAATACATTGTATGGGTCAAAATTATAGATTTTTCTTTTATGCCGAAAGTCATTAGGATAATAAGTGAAGATCATGTTCCATGAAGATATTTTGTAAATTTCCTACCGTAAATATATCAAAACCTAATTTTTGATTAGTAATATGCATTGCTAAGAACTTCATTTGGACAACTTTAAAGGCGATTTTCTCAGTATTTCGATTTTTTTTTATTCCAGATATTCAAATAGTTGTATCTCGGCCAAATGTTGTCCTATCCTAACAAACCATACATCAAAGGAAAGCTTATTTATTCAACTTTCAGATGATGTATAAATCTCAATTTCGAGAAATTGACCCTTATGACTGGTTTTGAGGTCCAGGGTCACATATTAATAAAAGATGAATTAAGAAATCAGCTCATTCGTTTCAGAAAAAAACCTGCTAAACACTGTGATAAATTTTGAGTAACACTGCAAAGAAAAACAACATTATGAACACGACTGTGAGATATGCTGTCACAGGATATGATGACATAAACTGAGGACAGTCAACGTCAACTCTGACATAATCAGCTGATGAGACACCTGACCCCTTGACACTGTGCAAGTACACGAGCTGAACTGATACTGCTATAAAACAAATATATTGACTCTATTAGCATCGGCTGACATCATAAGCTTTTTTTTAAAAGAGAAGATTGATGGAAAAAAGAGGGACGATGTGTGAAAGAAGGATAATGGAAAATAAATATGAGGAGAAATGTGGACTCACTAGCTCCACTCGAGGTCCGAGTCCCTCCAGGATCCGGTGAGCCTCCTCTGCCTTTTTCTGTTCAAAAAACACACAGCACACATGTCAGCGGCACATCAGCAAGGCAACACACCTTAAACTCTCTCTCTAGCGCACACACATAAACAAGACAGTGTGTAAGGGATGTACTATTAATAGAGCTCTCAACAGAAGACACTCACTGCCCTCTGCCTCTCTCCCCTCTCTCTTTGGGAAAGTAGAGAGAGAGAGAGAAAGAGGGGGAGAGGGAGAGAGAAAGAAGGCTGGGGAGGTAATTCAATTAGATGCAATAAAGAAAGAAGAATCTATTACATTCTGTGCTGTCTTGCTCAAATGCAGAGAGAGAGAGAGAGAGAGAGAGAGAGAGAGAGAGAGAAGAGAGAGAGAGAGAGA